AAAAAAAAAAAAAAAAAAAGATATTTTCATTCATTAATAAACAGATAATAATTTTTCTACCTTTTAGAATAGCTCGCTTCTCATCATTCATATGCCAAAAAAGAAGAGCACCCCCGATTCCACCTAGAACAGAAGTTGGCTGCAATAAAGTTAACAATTAAGGGCAAAAGAGTTATTTCTTAATCCAAAATGACAAACATTCATGTCAATTGCATACAAATGTTTCAAGGAAATCATATTACATACAATCAAATAAGATCGCCAGATTGGAGAAGTAGATTGTTCTTGTGTAAGTAGAGGCCCACTCTTATATGACATGTTTGCTGATCTCATGTAGCTTGAAGAACGAAACTTCATTGGTGTGACACACCTACCCAAAAGTGAAACAAATTGATCCTTATTTCCAAAAAAGAGATAATGTACAATATTATCAATGAAAGTACAATCTTGTAATCGAAAGAGATGAATGTAAGGTTTTATAACACACAAATCAATGAAAGTAAGTTGCTATTTTGTTGCATTTAGCCCGAAACGAATCTGAGTGTAAGTATGGAAGTATTAGTTCCAATGTGAATAACCCTTTTCCCAAAACAAAATGTTCATAGTTCCACAACACAATCTAATTCAGATCATAAATTAACATCTAATGCAGCAATTGGTGCTTACGGTTTATTTAATTTCCACATTCATAGAAGTACGAATCTATTGACTTCGATACTGTGCGTAAAACTAAGAACAAAAAGCCCTGAGTTGACCTAAAAGTGCAGAATTCACTTGTTCACCATTTGACACGAAGTGATTAACGAAAAGAAACTGTGCATTGAAGTTGGAAGAACGGTAGCAGAAATTAAGATAAAATTGTAGATGAAAATGGATCACCTCGTGGAAGAAAATAGAGGCTCTGCAAACTTCTTTCCATGGGAAAACAGCGAAACCCTGAGAACAGGCATGTATGAAACGAAAAATGGATTCGTGTAATCTGAACATGAAACAGATGAAGAATGATTATGCTAGAGTATCCGAAACTTCAAAACCCTTTAAACCGCGTTGATAAACCTCTGTGTAACTGTTTCTAGTTGGGGTGGATGGTTAGGCGTGCCGCTCTAATGTATAATTGATGTAGTTTTCTTCTTACCCAAGAATCCAAAATCCAATTTTGTATATCTTGATTTTAGGGTAAGTTTGGTGCAAGAAATGAAATGGAATTGATCCCATTTACAAATGTTTGGGATCTATTTGGATTTAAGCTTTTTTAAAATTGTTTATTAAAATGGAAGTGATAAAATAAAATAAATAGATAAGGGGTTTTCTTAGGATGTTGAATAATTTTGTTTATATTAACACATGAAAAAGAATGATATAATAGTCATTAAATGATAGATAAAAAAATCTCAGTAATCAGTGATCTTTTTTTTTTTTCAACAAACGACATGGTTTTGGTTGTTGACTGTGAAGATATATGTTGTGCTGCAATAATCTATGGGCCGAGGCCCGGTCCGGTTTGGAGGGATATAAAAACAAAAACAAAAAAAAATCATATCCTCATTTTTACACTAAATTTCACCAAAACTACTAAGTTCTTTCCAAAGAGAATGACTATAAGTGACATGGATATTCCCCATTTGATTAGTCATTGTTTTTAAACCGGAAATTAGAACCCGCAGTGTTAAGTAGGCTATTTTAACGCGTAACTGTAAATTTTAGCAAATGCTCATTAGCTAAAGCACGGATTTTTGCAGATGTTCATATGTGAAAATCTATGTTTTACCGGTGCTAATCTGCCAAAATATATAGTGACCTGCAAAAATTTCAATATTAAAAAAATCTAGGTGATACCTCGAAATGATTGGGTTTTTGATTTGTCGGTCGTTGAAACAGAGGGGTCAGGCAGTGATAGGAAATCAGACGACACTTGGCAAGAATCAGAACAGACTTGACACCACTTGTCAAGTGCTGATGACCATAGTTAGGAAGTGATGCGGATAACACACGAAACCAAAAACACACAAAGATACAATATTTACATGGTTCAGTCAAGGTGACCTACGTCCATAGGTAAAACCCATTAATCCATATGTCCATAAAAGGTGTCAACCAATCACAATCCGCCATACAGCCGCTTCTAGAACCTTCAACCTTGAGATACATCACATGAGCATCAGCAAAACACGTGATAAAGCATTATCAACCAAGATAGATCATCAACAATGACCATGATACATCAACATGGAGAATCCTCCATTATGATGGCGCATCCTCCACCATAGTGACACATCATGTCATTTGGGTCATCCACCTTGAGCATATTCAACATCTGAGCATCCTTGGATAAGGTTGAGCATCCTAGTGTACATCACAGCCTATATGACACATCAAGGGATATCATGGTTCATCAAGAACATGTGTAGTGCATCAAGAACATGTGTAGTGCATCAAGCCACCTAATGACGCATCATGATACACAAGTGGCGCATCATGATCATTAGTGGTGGATCCATGCTTCAGAAACACATTAATATTTCAGAGTACACTATAGAACACTAGAGTGACACACCTTGTACCAAGGTGGCACACCTAGTTTCCAATTTGGCACATCCAACTCTCAAGTGGTGCATCTTCCTCCACAATGGCACATATACCTTCACAATGACACATCTACCTTCCAAAGTGGGACACTAAAGAACCAAAAAGGTGCACCATGCATGAAGATGGTGCATCTTGTCTATAAGTGGTGCACTTTCCTCCAAAATGGCACATCCTTGCTTCATGGCTCATCAAGGATACTCTATTCCCTTCCTAGATGCTCCATTCCTTTCTTAGGTGACCCACTACTATCGTGAGTGCTCTGTTCCCTTCTTAAAGTCCTCAATTCCTTTCTTAGATTATCCGTTCCTTTCTCAAATGATCCATTTGAAGGGTTTTGAGCATTCTAACACTCCTAAGGTGCTCATGCAACCCTAAATACCTTGGATCTATGTTTTCACTATTATACATGTAAACTTGAAGTTTCCAAGGTATTACCCTAACTAGCATACAAAACTTAGATACATAGTGAATAAAACAAGTTGGGAAACATACCTTTTGTTGTGGTTGATTACTTGGAGCTTTAAGAGCCTAGCACCAATAATATGAATGCCTCAAGTGGAATCACAAATCACCACCAACACTTGGAAACTTTGAAAGAGAACTCTCTAGCTCACAAAATCGGCCTCTCCTTATTCACTCACTAGGGTGCCTTTTTCTTGAACCAAAGGGCTTCTTATATAGTATGCACATTAGGGTTACACCATGTAACTCATGACTTTCCACATCCCTCATGGTCCATGGGTTTTAACCTCCATGGAGCACCCATGGGTTAAGCCCATCATAAGGAATTATGGATCACTATCCCACTTTATAAGAATGAATGATTTACACAATCAATCCCTATATATTTAATTTGTCTCTTGTTGACCACAAAATTAATTCCAAATTAATTATTGATCATACTAATTAAAAATATGATTTCATATATTTATAACTAATATATATTAAGAATCATACATATCCTCTTCTCAAAGTCCAAATCGTTTCGGTGAAGTGCAACCCAAATGGACCATACTAAATCGGGTTAAGTACATACCAAATATAGTTATGGACTTAGACACCTTATCCAACAGTCTCCCACTTGGATAAGTCTAATAACTATAATTACAAGTACGACTTCAGGATCCGACCAACAATCGTAGCTCTTAAAACCAGTTGAACTAGAATGCACCATTTTAGACAAGTGATCATATAATCCTCTGTTCTCAAGATATCAGCCGGACAAATACACGAAACAACATCATACTTACTGTCCAACAGTTTGTTTCCCGATTCCTGATTTGTTTGACATAGAACTTAATCGAACACATCAATTGAGTTCTGACCGGGCCCGACACATAAGTCAAAGCAAAATCATCGAGGGGCCCAAGATATCGCTTTTAATCCTCTAAGGACTAAAATGAACAGATAAACTTCGACTCATATGCTTGTACTAACTATTCGCCAAATCATACATAACAGCACGTTTTATAACATCGAGTTACCGATGTGTTTTCGTACTATCAATGTACGACCAACTCATAGTCAACAACTCATATATCTAGGTTTGATAACTTATACGATATTATCGTCTCACGATCACTCGAGATAAATTCCATGAAGTGATACAAGTGAGCATGGGTTTAATCCAATACTCAGAACTTATGAGCACTCATGAATGTCATAGCAATGTCTAACCATTTCAGACAATCTACAAGCCAAATTCATGACAGTCTTGATTCAATACCTACTTCCAAAGTATGACCGACTGTGGACAATTTGAATAATCTTATTATTCTGGAAGTCAAAACATGCAAAATTGAAACAATAGTAAATAATTGACACAAGATAGTAACTTTACTCATAAATAAACAACAACTTTTATTTAATCATCAAATATCAATTACATTTTATCTATTACAAGTTTCAGAAATAATTATCTAATTATTAAAACTAATATCGTCTTTCAGCCCGATGCTCCTCGCATGTTGTAAATGCTTAACCCTATTTGGTCCCTTCGTGAGGGGATCTATTGGGTTTTCTTCTGACGATACCCTCTTTGCTACGAGGATCCTTCTTCTATCATGTGTCTTATGAAAGTGATATTTTCTGTCAATGTGTCTGGATCTCCCATGATCTCTTGGTTCCTTGGCTAAGGCAACCGCACTGTTACTGTCACAGAAAATCTCCATAGGCTCCTTTATAGCTAGTACAACTCCAAGGTCTCCAATGAAGTTCTTTAGCCATATCGCCTCCTTCGCCGCTTCGCTCGTTGCTATTTACTCTGATTCGCACGTGGAATTAGTTACGGTCTCCTGCTTGGAACTTTTCCAAGTTACTGCTCCTCCATGCAGGGTAAATACCCAGCCCGACTGAGAGCGGAAATTATCTCTGTCGGTCTGAAAGCTGGCGTCACTATACTCTATCACTCTCAAGTCATCACTCCTACCGAGGACAAGAACCCAGTCCTTATTCCTTCGCAGGTACTTGAGAATATTCTTTATCGCAGTCCAGTGAGCCTTACCAGGGTTTCCCTGATATCTGATGACCATGCTCAACGCAAAGGCTACATCAGGGCGAGTACAAGTCATAGCATACATGATCGAGCCAACAGCGGAAGCATATGGTAATCGACTCATCTCAGCTATCTCAGCCTCTGTACTCGGACTCTGAGTCTTGCTCAGTCTGGCATTGTGATGGATCGGTAAGTCACCTTTCTTGGAATTCTCCATGTTGAACCTCTTCAACACCTTGTCCAAGTAGGTACTTTGACTAAGTCCAATTAGTCTCTTACTCATGTCTCTCGATATCCTTATCCCAAGGATATAGGAAGCTTCTCCAAGATCCTTCATAGCGAAACACTTTTCCCAAGCCAGGATTTCACCTCCTGCAAGGTTGGGATGTCATTTCCTATGAGTAGTATGTCATCCACATACAGTACCAAAAATCTAACTATACTCCCACTAGCTCTGACATATACATAGGACTCATCCTCACTTCTCGAAAAGCCAAACTCTTTGACTTTCTCATTGAAACAAAGGTTCAATCTATGAGATGCTTGTTTCAATCCATAAATGGATTTCTCAAGCTTACACACTCTATTAGGGCACTTAGCATCGACAAAACCCTTTGGCTGGCTCATGTAAACATCCTCAGCCAACTTCCCATTAGGAAAGCGGTTTTGACATCCATTTGCCATATTTTCATAGTCATGAAATGCAGCAATGTCTATCATAACCCTAATAGACTAATCTTCGCCACTGGTGAGAAGGTCTCATCATAGTCAACTCCCGAGTTTGAGGTAAGCCCTTCGCAACCAGTCGTGCCTTATAAGTGTGTACCTTCCCATCAATGTCGGTCTTCTTCTTGAAGATCCATTTGCACCCGAATGTCTTACGACCTGGTACATTCTCAACCAAGTTCCAAATTTGATTGTCATACATGGACTGAATCTCGTTGTCCATAGCCTCTTTCCACTTTGCAGACTCGGGGCCTGCCACGGCTTCCTTGTAAGTGTTAGGTTCATCCAAATTTACCAGTGTACTATCACTGATAATGTATCACCTTACTTGTGTAGTAATATGGAAACCATAAAACTCAGGTGTATTTCTAACTCTACTGGAACTCCTCAGAGGTACAGACTCGTCAATCGGATCGACATGAGTTTCCTCCTCAGGTTGAT